ATTGACGTCATGTTTCGGACTAGATGTAAAATAGGTGTGCGCAAAATATAAAGGGTTATCACTCAAATGTTTTGTTAGAGTAATAAAATTCAACAATTACCCGTGTGTACTCTGTGAATAGATTGAACAACGAAAAAAATTTTTCACGAATTTGCACGAGGGAAAAACGAAACCGATTTCGAACGTACCACCGTGAATGTGGCACACGTCCTTAAAGAGGTATTCGACACTCATCCGTTTGGATTACATTCTGGGAATCCGGATGTCAGCTTCGTATTGACAAAAACAGATGGTGGAGAACACAATAAAATTGTAAATTCATGTTTCGAACGTGGCTCGTTTGCTTCACATTTGCTCTGAATTGGTTTCTAGGCGCTTTTGTCTGCTACGATCAGAACTTAGATGTCTTGGGAAGCTTCCAAGGTCCCAAAGGCAAAGAACAGTCCACCAACTATGTGAGACGTATGACAATAGGTTTTTCATGAGAGTGTTTTCTATTTCATATTTCGGGTGGGAAGCTGGTGGGAAAATGAAGAAGCCTCGTGTTTCCGTAAACTTCCACCCTTTGGTTCTCTCAAGCCGTTCATGTACACTCTCTGTACAAGCCACCCTTTGAACTGCCGCACCTTACGCTTCACCCTCACCATTCGTAACTCCTGTTCACATTCCTGAAAATTCTCCATTTCAGGGCGCGCATCGTACTAATCGGTTTGTGGGCTTTTGGTTCGGGAGGGACCAGCCGTTTGTTGCGGTCAGTCCGTTGATCAGCGGTTTTCCCAAACAGGCCGATTTTGTTTAGTATCCCACAGAATACGCAAAACGATTTCGGCCGCATTTGTTTCAGTCACCCATACAAGCTGAAAGATTGGGACACAACGCCACATACTGACAGGTTTTGTCTCAAAACCGCAGATGTAATTAGTGAGGGGCTAAGTGGCATATTCTTGTAATGAGGAACAAGATTTCATCGTATATCCGCTTGTTTCAATGAGAACCTAGTGCTTTTCCTGTCATCAGGTGTAGTGGTCTGGCTACCCAATAAGTTAGTTTACCAGGAATATGTGGCAAAGAAATAAAAATAATTACGCTAGGTTGGGTATACAAAAATAAAGAGATCAGATGGAACAGACTCACTAACAATTGTTCTCTTTAAAATGGTTCGTCGTTGGCCCAGGTCAGCGAATAAACAATAATCCAGTTATATTGGTCCAGAGGTCTTCTTCTGAACAGTTCCCACATATAATAGATTCCGAAGATGCCTGAAATGTTTTGGTGCCTGAGTTAGTACATGAGACTCGCGAACGACCGCTGCGAGCGCCAGCGAAATCAGAAGAGAGAGTCGAAGCACATGACCACGCTTGTATTATCTGAAATTGTACAAGTGCGCGTTTTTGTAGTTTTTCGTATTCAAACCAAAAACGATTATGCAATTGATGAACTACTTAGTGTTATAATGGAAGTAAAATAAAGGTACGAAACTCCCCACAGGTGAGCAAAATGAGTTCAGGACAGAAAACGTGATTTTTTGTTCTTATCTTTTCCTTGTTCCATTCAGTAAGATTTAAGTATCATAAGGGATCGATGTTACGAAACTTGTCTACAAAGTTTTTTTATCTTAAGGAGGTTCCGCCTTGGCGGGACGGAATATTTGGAGTCGGGTTCTATCGATCAGTCAGAGAAGAAGAAGGAATAGTGCATCTTTCTTGTATATGGGTTGAATCATATTTGTTCAAGGGCAATGAGATATATATAACCTTGCAATCCCCAGCTAGATCATCATTGTTATCGGAGGCAGTGTCGTGGTATCGGTAGTTCATCAGTTGGACATTGTAAGCACTGTTGTGATACACAAATGAATGGCAGTGCCTCCGAATGAATGACTAGCTGGGTAAGGCCCAAACCTATATTACAGACATAAAAGAGAGCTGCAAACTCGCCGAAAATTCCAGGCAGCTTCCAGAATGTTGTGCGCGCCCAAGATGTGAAAACCGGATAATGAAGGTCACAAAAGCGTCGGTTAGCAAACGCAACCGAATTTGCTGACCGGTTTCTCGGAAAGAGCCCCTAGCTGATGAGATTACTACTGCGGTCAAGTGTGACTATGACACCCTCTATGACTTGTATCCGCACAGAACCCCAATTGAACAAAAATACCTCACATTGGCTTCGTTCTTCCTCTGCTGATTTTTCGTCAACCTCAAGGAAACCCGCTGCTCAAAAGTTGCACGTCTTAGCTTAATGAACTTAACTATGACGTTACGGGGCTGTCCAAAAACCGAAGTGTGTCAGGTCTGTGATGGCAGGGACCTGACGCACTCATCTTGATGGCACATTAGTATATATTCCCTCCCAACCGTACCATTTCGCCCACTTTAAGTTAACGGTAAATACGAACAATCTCTGCACAGCCATAGCCGCCAACAGAACGCGTTACTTCAAGCCTGCTAGACCTTTCGTCCAGATTCAACCATTTCTGTGGACGTTTAGGCTGCACTGTCCACAAAGTCAATACGTTTCCGTACAGTTCGCGTTCCAGCTTGTGTCTCATGATCAAATCACTCTTCCAAGCAACTTTTACATCCGACTCCACTATGGCAGCATCACCAGCGAGTCACCGCACTTTCACCGTGACCGTACTCCTGAGGTCCCTCCTACCATTTATCCTCATTACTGATCTCTCTACTTCAACACCATCTACTCTTTTTGTGACTGTGGCTACAAGTCTAACAGTCCAAGGCCACGAGGCCACAATGAGGGTTTTGGGCTTTAGTTAATGGTGACCTGCTGGATTCCGCCAGCCCTGCTGCTTCACCAACTCTGTTGTTCTGGTTCCTTATTTTCCACAATTTTCACTTTTCTCGTTGTTGCAAGCAGGACACCTCTTGTGTTGCCCTCCCTCGTTTCTTCGCTCGCCACCTTCAAATTCCAACGCCTACGTCGAATAATATCCACTGTTGATGACACTGCCCATCTACCGCGCAATCCTCCCGTACCCGCAAACCCCGCCAGTCATGCTTTTATCCTGATTGTAACATCGCAATCATGCCTGGCGGTGCGTTACCCACCAATTGGGAATAAACTTTATTGTCATATGAGCCACGGAGCTGGCGACTGGACAACGATATTGTTAGGAACTTGGTGAGGTGGTTACTAAAGTTTTGCTTAACTGTGTGCTTTGTGGGACGTTGCAGAATCTATACATGAGTTGTAATTGATTATACACTTTTCCATTTCAGAAACATTGTTGAGCAAAAACGGAATCTTAGAAACGATAACTGGATGTACCGCCCATTACGTTTGCACCAATGCAACCAATAAATAGAGATGGAATTTGCCAAGTGTGGCTGTGAATTTTTCAGGCATAGGATATGCAGACATGCATAGGGTCATCGTTAGTCATTGTGTTAGGCTAGTGTATATGTAGTTGGGACCTTATAATCAGCTGCATGCATGGATTTGGGCCCGGAGGTTACTATGTGTAGCCA